TGGCAGCTTGCCAGTTGCATTTCATTTGTAGGGATCCTGCAGAATGCTTCTCTTTCTCCTTCTAAAGATCATTAGAGCAACTCCCTCCTCTACCAAACTGAAGACTCGGTGATAACCTGCCAGATAACCCAGTTTATCTACTGATGTTTGTGTAAAACCGAGAAAATTCAACAGGTCATCACATGAGAATGTTTTACCTTGAGCCATTACTGGAATGCGGCCCACATTCTAACATGTGGTTTCTTAATGGACTGACCCTTGCATATACAGGAAATGTGCATGTGTCATTCTTATTTCCTGACAGTTGCATTTTTCCTGCAGTAGTTCTGTATCTCTCTGTGCTCCATGATTTGGGGAGTGGTGGGAGTTCTGAAACGGAAGAAGGAAGTTCATTCTGATTTTGGCTGATCATGTGTTACAGAATTAGCAAAAAAAAAAAAAAAAAGGGGGGGGGGTGAGTGGTTTGAAAATTGTTGAGCTGGTCAGGCCTGGTGGCTCACACCTGTAATCCCAGCACTTTGGGAGGCCTAGGTGGGCGGATCACGAGGTCAAGAGATGGAGACCATCCTGGCCAACACGGTGAAACTCCGTCTCTAGTAAAAATACAAAAAAATTAGCCGGGCGTGGTGGCACGCACCTGTGGTCCCAGCTACTCAGGAGGCTGAGGCGGAAGAATCACCTGAACCCAGGAGGCGGAGGTTGCAAGACAGCTGAGATTGTGCCACTGCACTCCAGCCTGGTGACAGAGCAAGACTCTGTCAAAAAAAAAAAAAAAAAAAAATATTGTTGAGCTAAGCTTTTCTTTTTTAGGAAGTACTAATAAGAGAGGGGAAGGCTGAGTTATTGCATTTCAAAATTCCCTTTTAAAATCTTGGATTATTGCCTATATACTGTAGAGTTCCCATTCAAGCAAGATCCCCACTAAATTCCAGTTACTAGCTGTTTGTAAGTATTCTTAAAAGCACTGTGATTACTTTGCACAGGAATTTTGGCAGCAACATCATTTTGACATAAAGATATTTAAACCCAATCACAGTAGCCTTTCTTAAAAAGCAGGATGAAGTCTGTAGTATTTGTATCACCAAATAAAGAGGCCTTGTAAGTCTAACAGCACACAAATTAGTATGGACTTGATACAATATTTTTAAAAGTCAGTGGCATGAGATGAATTAGGTAGGCTTCATCACGGTGGAGAATTTTTCACTGACCACAGAATTTTAAGATATAGAAGGTGAGGATGGTATGGTATTTTATAAGAAAAGGCTACATGTGGAGGTTGCCTGTCGGGGATATCACATTGATTTGCATTGATCTGTTTTGTGCTATGCAAGGAATGAGACAGCTCTTTGCCTTGCTATTTTAACAGGCTAGGGGAATTGTGTTTCTTTAATTATTTAGTCTCCCATCAGCCACATTGATACTGGAATTTTTCCCTCTCTGCTTAGGTATCTTCATACTTTCTTGGAAAATTAAGTGGAAAAGATAGTGCTTCTTTTCCTTTTGCCATCATTTTTACTGTACCCAAACTGTGAATTTAGGAGCACCAATTTTTAAGGGTAAGTCTCCATGAAGCAGAGAGCATTTCTTAAATAGGTAAGGCCTTCTTGAGGACTTGGAGAGTTTAGGGGGGCTATGGGGTGTTGGGATGCAGAAATTCTGGAGAACAGGAATCCTAAGATGACAGTCCTGTACTTCTCTAGAATCAAGTTGCATATGGGAATTAGGAAGAAGGGAACTGCTTGACTTTTGCTTAATTTACTGTGATACTGTGTAGACAGTGATCTTAGATCCTTGTTCGAAAAAGGAAGTCATTTAAAAAAAATTTTACTGTTTACGCAGGAATAAAACATCAGGTGGATCCACACCTTCAGAAACTACACAGGGAAGCACCAGGGGTGGTCACAAGGCAGGGAGAGGGAGGGACTGGGGGCAAGAGGGGAGGACTGGGCAAGGCCTGGTAAGCAGGTCAAGACAGGTTCATCTGAATAATCTCAGTGGCCCCGGGGCACAGGGGTTGCCTTAGTCATCTGGGGTGATTAGGGCAGGTGGATGGTGGCCTAGAGTGTGAGAGCCAGTAAAGGAGGTGTTCAGGGTGTGGGTTCAGGATTAGTTGGTTTGTATTTGAAGAGTGTACTCGGGGCAAGTTGTTTTATCATCTCTAGGAATTGTTTAGGAGGAGGGACAGTCCCTCCAGGGTCTGCAAGGCCCTAGATAGGAAAGCATCAGAATACAGAAAATAGAAAACATGGTTAATGCGACATGTCATGGCTTCAGTTTCAGCCTAAATGCCTCAGTACCTTGAGTCATCATTTCTTTGTTGCATCCCAGGAAGGGCAGATTTCAATTCTCTAACCTGGGAAGACTCAGGGTCTGGGCCCCCCAGGCCGGCCCCTCCCTTCAGCTCCAGACCTGTTTCCAGCGTCTCACCTGGAGCATCCCGGGATGTCCTGTAGGCTTCACAGGTGTACGGCTGAATGTATTGTCTTCCTCCCCCAAAGTTCTTCCTCAGTCTGTTCCCTGTTTTGGGTAATGGGGTAGCTTTGCACATTGGCCCCAAGCTAGGAGTAGTGAGCCTCAACACCTTCCTCTGCTTTCTTCCCTTTATGTAGTAATTCTCCAACACCTTTTATCCCATGCCATCAGTGCCCTGACATGAATGAATTTGACCTATATCTTCAGCTGCAGACTTGGGCTTCCCTTTAGGGCCTGACACCCCCAGCCACCACTTCACCCATCTCTGGAAAGGTTCCTGTGACTAAGTCTCAGCTGGCCGCCTGTTCTCTTTTTTGTCCTTCAGACCAACATTAATTATCTTTTAACATCAGCTCCCATCACATCTCTCCCTCTTGAAAAGCCTTGGATGGCTTCCTGGTGATTACAGGCTCGAGTTCAAACTCCTGGGCATGGCCCTGCACAATCAGACCCCGGCCACTCTGCCAACACACAAGACACTCCCTTACCATGGGAAGTCAACCATGGTGTGCCCAGGCTGCCTCTCAGTCCCCTGGCTGGCTGCTGCCCTTCTCCTCCTACCTTGGTCGCTGAGGCCAAGGTCATATGTCAGCTCCTCTGGGAAGCCTCCCCTACCCCTCCTAACTATAATAGGTCACTCTGTTCTTCACATCTCCTCAATACTTTTTTGTTTGAGACAGTCTTGCTCTGTCACCCAGGCTGGGGTGTAGTGGCACAATCTTGGTTTACTGCAACCTCCACCTCCTGGATTCAAGCAATTCTCCTGCCTTAGCCTCCCAGGCAGGCACCACCACACCCAACTAATTTTGTATTTTTAGTAGAGATGGGTTTTGCCATATTGGCAAGGCTTGTCTCAAATTCCTGACCTCAGGTGATCCGCCCGCCTTATCCTGCCAAAGTACTGGGGTTACAGGTGTGAGCTGCTGCGCCTGGCCTTCCTCAAAACTTTGTATAAACCTCTTTTGATAATGATCTCATAGTATCTTGGCTACTTTTTACCTGTGACTTTTTCATCACATCTGACATTCATTCAACCAATCTTTGTTGAGTAATTACCCTCTAGTAGGCATTGGCCGGGTGTTGAGTATACATAAAGAACTAGATCAGATCCTGCCGTCCAGAACCTAATAGCACCTTTGGGGAAGATGAGAATCAAAGTCATAACCAGACAGACTTGTCAGAGTCTAATTATAATTGAAACATGGTACCTGCCATGATGGGTGCATGAACAGAGTCCTGTAAGCACAGGGAAGAAAGAACTCCACCAGGAAGAATCAGGAGAAGTTCCAGGAAGGTAAATCTTGGAGGAGGAGGACAAGTTTATTGAGATAGAGAAGTAAGGAAAAACAGAGAACGTTGGTGATTTTGATGGTTGTTTCTCTAAGATCCCAAATGTGGAAAACGGTATAGATGTGAAAAACTTTTCAAACTGGTTGAACAGTGGGATATTCCCTCTAGGTGCCCTTGTGTGATTAGGTATTCCTGTGTTTCTCAGTCTTCCATGCAGCCTGGCAAGCAGACAGCCATGCGCGACTGTCTGCATTTCAAAAGGTTTGTTAGATTCAGTGGAAAAATGTTTATGTAGCATATCTCCCACGTGAACCCAAAACTCAACACCACCAAAGTTAACTGCTTGATGGAGATGTGTGTTTTTACACTGCCATCCTCCTTACAGTTAGATTTATTATATTATCAGTTGAATTTAAGGCAGTTTTCAAAACCATCTCTTTCAGGAGTTTACTGTATTAATAGGCATTCAAAAAATTATCACGGCAGAGTGCCTTAGAAATGTGAAACTCTTTCCTGGGGCTCCAAATATCCAACTTCTCTTTTAGCTTTCAAGCATGCTGTGGAGTCAGATCACCCTAGTGAAAGGCCTGGCTCTGCCACTCACTAGTATGCACCCTTGGGGAAGTTATTTCATCTTTTGGAACCTTAGTGTCCTTCTTAGTAAGATGCTGAGTAAGATGGAGCTTACTTGGTGGGATTGTTAGGAGTTGAAGATAAATCATGCACTAGAGTGAACAGCCTAACTCCTGGCATGTAGTTAGTGAATGGAAGGGATTTTATTGTTGTTTTTTGGTGATGTCATTAGTACCATGCTTGAATGAGCCCATGACTGAATCTTGTATGGACTGGAGAAGTGTCTTAGGCAGACGCTGAATTATCAGTGTCCACGAAATCAGTGTCTCTCCTAATGAGATGGGGGATTGGAGGAAACAAGTCATAACTTCTTTTTCCTGTCCTTTCAGTGTCTTTGTATATTTTAAAAACCACTTTCAAAAACATCCCATCATATGTCATTGTAAAAACATTTGATAGTTTTTCCGCTTACCATTTTATCAGCACTGAATGCCACTTTATTTGCCAAGGCTGTAGTAGTCAGTAGTTTCTTCATTCTATAGTCATCAAACCCCAGATTTTCATTGACAACCTCACTTACAACATTTTAAGTAAAATCATGCTTTTTAGTGTGGACAGACGTCTCACTTGTCATTTCTCTGCTTTCTTCTTGTCCACCTATACAGGAAGAATGTTGGTGAAAAGCACAGAAACCAGTGACTTTTGTGGCTGTGGAATTTCCATGGAGAAAAGAGAGCATTCAAACACCTGGACCACTTTTTTCGCCTGACATATCCTCTGCACTGCCCCCCACCCCCAGCATGTTCTGTGAACTTGAGTGACAAAGCGTGCTTGCAGGGGGCTTTTCAAAAGACTGGGGAAGAGGGGTGGAGAGGGGTGGTGGGGAAGCATGGGCAAAAACATGGAGCAAATGTTTTACAACCTGAACCTCAGAACTGTGATCCTCCAAGGAACGAGCTACTTGAAGAAAAAAAAAAAAAAAAAAAAAAGTCGAATGGCTTCTCAGGGATTTTGTTTTCCGTGCACATATAAGCCATAGTTACAGTACAGGTGGCAGTATTTAGAGCACTCAGATTTCAGTTCTGTTAAATGTGAAAGAGGGATCGACTGACGTTCATTGCTGTTCCGTAACTAGTGTAAAATATGTATATGTTTATCTTTATTTTTATAATATGCAAATACATTTAAATTTATACAGTTTGAAGCTTCTAGCGTTAGTTCACACTGGGTGCAATATTCTGCATGAGAACTGTGCCAAGATGGGGCTTTCTTATTTTAGTATAAGATGTTTTTGTTTTATCTTTATTCTTTAATCCTCCTCAGATTAAAAAAAAACCTCTGTTAGCCCATGGATTAAATATTGGTTCATAGAGATTGCCAGTGATCAGAAAGAACCTTAAATGTGCATTTTAGACCGTGTCCCTTCCCTTCTTTTCGATAAAGGTCCCTGCCGATGTAAATCATCGGGCATGCTGGTGGGAAATCCTTTGTTTTCCACACGTGTTATTAGTGCCAGGCAGAGATGGGGCACACTTAGGGGCCAAAGAGGACAAAAAGTCCATGCAAAACTTGAGTCTGTTAATGGCTTAAGATAACCAGGAGTCAGTTCTGAATCTTACAAAGTGCCCTGCCTAATAAGGACCTCATTTGGCCGAGCACTTGGCAAACATATTAGTTATTAGCAGAGCTCTTTGCAGACCTTCCACATCTGGCTGTCAGACCTTAAAGTAGAGAATTTAGGCTCCAGTTATGCTCATTGGAGAGCATAATCCCACATGGGTTATTTATAAATGCAGAGCCTCTGATTGGATGGTCTCCTGCCAAGAACTAGTAACTCTTTTGTAAAAAAATCTTCACGAGGCAAAACTTAAAAAGCAAACCAAACAAATTGCTCTCCATTTTACTTTTTACTGGGGCCAAACAGCATATGCTACAGTAGTAACACGTTTTGTGGAGAATGTAAAGAGCACTGTTTACATTTACCTCCTCTGTGTGTTGATTGAAAATGTGTAAAACTGACTGCTTCTCGCCAGTGTCAGGCAAGAAGAGTGAGTTGCTGGTACTCACTACTCTCACTTCTTTTGTAAAGTATTAACTCTTAGAAGGCCACAGTATACAAAGTCTCAACATGTTTTTTAAAAGAAATAACGAGCAAGTGGCTGCCCTGCTAGAAATCACAAACTGATTTTTGTAGAATATTTTGTGGCCCAGGAGTTAATGTCACTGACTCCAGAACCTGCGGTTCAGAGAATGATTTCTTAGGATCATAAAAATAAATGGGATCAGACTATTTTTGCATTTTTTTAGTACTTGAATAGGACTCCTCCAGTTTGACATTTCATTTTCTTTAAGAACACAATCACAAGATTAATCAGATTAGTCCTTTTGTCACAGTTCTCCTGTGCGTGTGCGCGTCTGTGTGTGCGTGTGTGTAAAACTGGAATGGTAACATTTAATTGCTTTTTGGACCATTGAACAGTTGGGCAGTAAGAATTTTTTAATTGGCATGAGACAGTTCCTCAACTGTCAAATTAACCAACTTTGACCAGTATTTAAAAAAAGGCTTATTTGTATGATGTTGGGGCTAACTCCCCGGGGACCATATTAAATGACAAAAATGCTCATTTGGGTGACACACCCTGCAAAGTATTTGCTGTTATGAACATAAACACCCACATTCTTAATATCTGATATTTTTAACAAGTGATGTTTTGTGCTGTCATCTGAACCCTAGAGAAGCAGTGTCAGAGGAAACCGTGGTGTCACATGTGTCTTAACAGAAGGCTTACCGTGATAGAGGATCATGTGACCAAAAGATGCTCCAGAGAAGCTTCAGAATTTGCTTCAGGGTGGGAGGAGGGTTGGAGATACAGAAATCACTCTGCTCTACAGGAATCTTCGGCTGTCTATGCAAGAAATTCCGTTTTCTCTTTCAACACCTGGAAAGACACAGCGGCCACCGAGGTGGACAGGCGATTCAGTAAGCACAAGAGGGACATTTTCCAAGCAAGGTGTCCCCTGCCTCTCAAACAAATGCCCTCCAAGTTTGTTAGGGTTTCTATTCCTGCAACTTGTGGTATCAAAACCACTTCCTGGAATTGTCCATGCACTGCCAAAATAAATGTTTTCCCCCCTTCTAAGAAAAAAAAAATTACAGTGTTCATATTTGACACTTGTGTATTGGACTCTTTTGAATGAATAAAAAGGGTTTGGTGTAATTCCTGATGGGGTGTGTGTTGTTTTTCATGCCATGGTTTGTGAATTGTAATTGTGGTTTCCCATTTCGTTGTTGTAACTGGGCAAAAACTTAAAAAAACAAAAAACAAATAAAAATACCAAGAAATGGTTAAGCAATTTTATACCCAGAGCTTCATTATTTCTAATTTTGTTCATTTGTTTTTGCTTTTAATTCTATCAGTTAGGGAATTGTGACATGGTAAAAAGCCCCATAAACCTGCATACCTCAACCATACCTTGGCTTTCTGTTGAAACTGCTCTTTGTAACCCAAATGTGACAGGCAAGCAGTCCAAACCCACGACATCTTGGCCCCTGCGACTTGTAATTTCCACCCTACCCAGACAATGTGTAAACAAATGCTTATCTTAACTTTTGTGAACCACTTGAGTAACAATCAGAATGTCAAAAGTCCCCTGGCCCTCACAATGTCCACAGCCCCTCACCCTCATCTCCACCCAGGAGGTGATTTACAGAATCTACTAGCCCTCGGAATGTCTGAAGTCCCTCACCCCCACCCCTGCCCCTCATCCTCACTCCCAAGGTGGTTGTACGGGTATAAAAAGTCTTAACATCCTCCTTTCGGGGCCATGGGTTGGAGAGACGTGAGTCCTCCATCTTCCATGACCACCAGCAATAAAGACCCTACAATTTGGCATACTTTTGTCTTGGTATTGACTTTCTATGCTTGCTCCACTACAACATTTTGGAGGCCGCAGCGAGATTTTTATCTTCGTCTATCACCAGACAAATGTCTCAGAGTCTCGCCTGGGTGACTGCTCCCACCTTGGGGACCTCTAGGGGAGGTGCCCCCTGAGATGTTCCAGGGCCCCAGAGTTCCGGCCCCGTGGAGGATGAGTGACTACCCGGCCGACATTCACCCAAAATTCCTCAGGGTCCCGGGAACGTCTGGAGGTAAGTCAGGTCTGGAGACCGGCCTATCGGGGGGCCTGAGTCGGGAGACCAGATGTAGTCACTGCAACTCTGACCAGGCAAGCCTACCATGAGACATCACTGAAGGCTCAGGTGGCCTTAATGGAGGCTCAGGTTACCTCACTAGAGGCTCGGGTAATTTAGTTTTCAGTTGTTTTCCATAACCTCGGTGTGAGTGAGAGAGTGAATGTATATATATGTAGTCCTACGGCTAGAAGGCTACAGGGCTTGTATGGGCCTTCACCCACAGTTCCACGGGGATGTCATAAGACATTACGGTGATTCACCTCGGAACTGAAAACTCTAAGGTGAACAGGCCCAGGGTTTATATGGGTACACCTTCGCCAAGATGCTCTGAAACATCCCTCTGGGGACATGGCTGGGCAGGCATCAGACTGGTCTCCCATCTGGGGAGCACCCATTCTTTGTCTGTCAATCCTATATATGGTTCTGTCTTCATTGTAATTTCACCAGTTTTGTTAGACTCCTGTTGGCTGATATACAGTGGTTTAAACCTGTTACTCTTGAGGTAAATAGTATTCTCCATTGGCCAAGTGACCATTAACTTCAAGGAACTCTAATTGAGCTTACACCCCTGGAAATAATTCTGTTCGCTTTCCTTTTCTTCTTCTTATTCTAACATTAAGGACTCAATGTTCCTTTTTTTCATGTCTGAGAGAAAATTCTGACCCTGATAACTTGGGTGTAGTTTTCTTCTCTGTTTTAGGGAATCAAACTTTAAGAAACTACCACCCCTCTCTGCCCATTTAAGGTAGAAAAAAGGAGTAATTGTCTCTTCTCTCAAAAGAAACAGAAACAGTGAGGGAAAGAGGAGAGTAGACAGAGAAAAGAGAGAGAGAGAAAAAAAGGAAATGAGAGTAGAGAAGAGAGGAGAGAGGAAACAGAGAAAAAAGACAGAGGAGAGGAGAAAGAGAGGAAAGAGGAGACAGACAGAAAAGAAATGAAAAAGTGAAAAGAGAGAGGGAGGGAGGAATTTAATGCTTTTTAGGGTTCCTGTGCCAAGGTCACCAAAAGCTGCAGGGGTGGGGAACTCGCAGCTGGCCCAGCGGCTGGGAGCTCAGTTTTAAACTGACACAAAAAACATTTTTTTCTTTCTCTGCCAGCCTCCAGCCCCGCCCATCTTTCAGGCAGGCCACACTGCCTCAGGGTGCAGTATTTGCTTCCAAAATATGGCTTTAAAAAAGCTTTCTAACTCCTTGTAATACAAGTGACCCATTAGCACGGTAGTTAAGGTATAGGGCCTGCAACTGCAAGGTTGTTGGTTCAAATCCTCAGTGAAGCCAGTCTTAAATTAGTGAAATCAGTGAAATCTCTTGGGGGAAATTAAAAAGCTAAAGGAAAACCCAAATGGGGTCATCTAGCTTCCGGCCTTGTACCCCCCTTCAATGCATGATGGCCAACTTCAAGGTTGGGTTTTCAGGCCAATATGGGGTAAAATTAACCCCTGAAAAACTCAATTTTTCAGTTTCATTCTAGTTAATTCTTTATGTGAACTAGAATGGCCATCTTTTGGAGTTGGGTAGCATAACGCTGGGACGTACAACTCAAAAAAAAAAAAAAATACCCAGGCTGTATGGAAAATGGTTCCAGGAACTCCTAGACACCCTGACCAGTTTCTATATGTAAGGCCGGACTCCTCATCAGGAGCCCAGACAGCCACCCAGCTCTGCACTCGGCACCCAGTTGTGGACCCAGCCCTCCAGTCAGGAATTCCGGCTGATACAACCCTAACCAAATCTTGCACCAAAAACCCTGCCTGCCAACCTGCCAACCAATAGCAGCCCAATCGTGCTCCCCTACAGCCAATCAAAGCACCCTGCTGTTGCTCATTACTCATAGCCACAAAAACCCCATGCCCTAGGAAGTCAGCGCAACTTCTCTGGCTCCCTTTCCCCAGACCATAGAACCTCACCCAGGAGCTGAATAAACTGGCATTTAATTTTTTGTACTGGCCTCAGTTTCTTCATTTTCAACTTGGCAATAACCCTTACAAGTGGTGCCAAAACCCGGGAGGAGTTCAAGACCCCTCCTGGGGGAAACTGACTCCTCTACCATAAGCAGAACCAGGGAACTTCCACCCCTCCGATCATCTGCAGCCATCACTTGGTAAGACTCCTATTGCCCATAACCCCATCCTCTGTTTGCTCCAAACCTTGGGGGTACCCTGTCCATAATCACGGCTGCGTCAGGGACTCCTATCTGTCTCGAGCTGTGGGTCTCATGGAGACGTCCCGGTGCCCTGGCTCAACCATCCCGGAAGACAGGAATATTGTGGAGACATCTCTATACTCCTGTCCTTCCTCGTAATCTCCGGTACTCAGGTGTTGAGGTCCGGGACGCTGTTCCTCACTCCTGGCTACTCCGCGACAGAGAGTGGACTATGGGTAATCAGGAGTCCCGCCTAGACCCCAAGTCACCATTGGGATGTCTAGTCCAAAATTTACCCAAGTTGGGTCTATCCATAAGAAAGAAAAGACTACTTTTCCTCTCCACTGTGGCCTGGCCCCAGTATCCTCTGGACAACCAGTCCAAGTGGCCACTGAAGGGAACTTTCAATCTTGGCATTCTAACTGATTTAGACAATTTCTGTCAAAGAAATGGTAAATGGTCAGAGGTCCCCTACATTCATGCCTTCTGGTATCTTCGCTCCCATCCCTCCCTCAGTTCCTCCTGAACCACTGCTCAGGTGCTCCTGGCCAAAGAAACTCCCTCACCGCCCTTGGCCCCTCCACCATCCTCCTCCTTTTCCTACCTTGACCCACCCGAAGAATTATCCTTTCCACCCACCTGACCCACAAACCCTCTGCCATATGCAGACCCTCAAGCCCCTCCAGCCCCTCCTCTTCCTGGTCCCAACCTAGCCTCTCCTGTCAGTGCTCACACCCGCTCGCACTGTACTCCTAACAATGAAACCTCCCTCCTTTGCCCCCTTTGCGAGGTCACTGGAGCGGAAGGCGTTGTTTGAGTACATGTTCACTTCTCCCTCTCTGGCCTATCAGCCACTGAGAAGTGCCTAGGGTCATTTTCCACCAATCCTACTGCTTACACCAAAGAATTCCACTACCTCACCCAGGCTTACAACCTCACCTGGCATGATACCTATGTGATTCTGTCCTCCACCCTCACCCCAGATGAGCGTGACCGCATTCTTACAGTGGCCCGAGCACATGCTGATCAGGTACATCTCACAGACAATCAGATGCCAGTAGGTGTGGTGGTGGTCCCAGAGGCCAACCCTAATTGGAATTATCAAACTGGACAAGATGGCCACTGCCACCAGGACCAAATGCTATAGTGCCTCCTAGCAGGCATGCAACGCCAGCCCAAAAGGTGGTTAATTATGATAAATTAAGGGAAGTAACCCAGGGTCCTACTGAAAACCCTGCCACCTTCCTTGACCGATTAACTAATGCTATGATCCTCAGCTGGACCCAGCCTCTTTACCGGGGCTACAGTTTTAGCCACCCATTTCATCTCTCAGTCAGTGGCTGACATTAGAAAGAAACTTAAAAAGGCTGAGGAGGGCCCCCAAACTCCTATACGAGACCTGGTAAAAATGGCATTTAAAGTTTTTCATGGGGGGTAAAAATCCAAGATGGCCATTTAGGAACTGCTCAGGACGGTGGCTCCCAGTGAAAGTGCAGAAGGTGAGTGGATGCCGCATTTCCAGATGGATTTTTTTTTGCCCACAGACCAGGAGATTCCCAGGCAGAGTAGACCCATGGGTCGCCAGCACAGCTGTTTTAGCCGGCATGGCTGTTTTGGTCAGTGTGGCTGTTTTGGCTGGTGCGGCTGCTTTGCTGGTGCCCCAGTGCAGTGGTTCTCCATCCAAAATACACTGGTACGGGTGCCCTTCTAGTTGGCAATTGGAGCCCCGGGAAGGCACAGTCACCCATTAATCTGATTAAAAAGGGGACTGAAATAGGAAGCCAGGCCAAGAGATTCCCGGGCAAAAAAAAAGCACCACCAATCTCAGCGCCACTGTTTCAGCTGGCGTAGTGAGTCAGGGAAATCACACAGATCCCAGTGACTTCTCAACAGGCGACTGGAACACCTGGAAGAGAGTCGACCGTTCAACTGAAAAAAAAAAAAAAAAAAAAAAAAAAAAAAAAAAAAAAAAAAAAAAAAAAAAAAGGATCAGAGGCAGGGAGCCAAGTGATCAGGC